AAATAAGTGCAATAATACCTAACTCACAGTTGTTGAGGGGACGAAATGAGGTAGTTTATGTGTTATCTGGCATTTAGCAAACATTCAACAAATAATAGATGATGTAATAATCATCATTAGAATTATTCCCTGGAGATTATGAAAGAAAAAGAAATGTATTACTTTTTAACATAAGCAACCTAAACCTATAAGGTATGGTTTTTCTTTTTTAAATTTCCTGAGCCTTTTTGGTTCATTAGTTTGTTTTGATGGGTAGATTGTGAAGGAGGCAAGGTAGCACTTCTTAGAGAAGTCATCTAACCTAGTGGTATGAATGTGGTTCTAGAGTCAGACCCACATAGGTTTCCAGCCTAGATCTATCATTTGCTATTTAGACGGCCTTGGATAAGTAACCATCTGGGCTTCAGTTTCCACATCTGTAAAATGCGTTTGATAATTGTTCCTACCCTATAGGTTGTTGATGGATTAAATGAGAATAATGCACAGAAGTCCCTTAAGCACAGTGCCTGCCACAGAGTAAGAGCTTTTCAAATGTTAGCTGCTATTACTGCTGTTCCTGCTACAGGAAATCTTGGGGATGAGACCTGGTGCACCTACTGTGGTTCTGTTCTGGCTGAACGGCTTGTGTGTGTGTTTGCCTCTTAGTACCATCTTCCTCATGGGACCGATGAATCAGCTGAAGCGAATGTTTGAGCCTACGCGTTTGATCGCAACTATCCTGGTGCTGGTAAGTTCTGCTTTTTAGCTGGACTTCTCAAAAGGGAGCTGTTATTTCTGCCATATGGAATTTTTTTCCTCTTAAACCTAATGACCTCTTTTTTTTTTTTGCCTTTCATCTTGACTGTTATTTCTGCCATATGGAATTTTTTTCCTCTTAAACCTAATGACCTCTTTTTTTTTTTTTTTGCCTTTCATCTTGGCTTATTACCCAATTCCTATAACCACGTGTCAGAAGGGAGCATTCTGCTAATAGTTACCACGACCTCCTCCCCTACCTTTGTGGTTCAGTTGGTGTCAAGCTACTACCAGTTCTATAAAGCACCTCTAGAGGGTGCTGCTTGTCACATTAGCCCAGCTGAAATGGTAGTAAGAGAGCTCAGACACCTTCCTGGTGATGGTTGAAGCCAAACACAGGCAGAGCTTAGAGGGAATAACTCAGAAACGCAGGGTTCATTATCTAGAGTGGGTGTTCATCTCTAGGATGGGCTCTTTTTTTCCTCATCATTATCTGACGTTGGGATCGTACTCGATGGGATTATACGTCATTAGTCATTTTCATCAGTCTTCCTGAAGTGAGGGTGCTCTCCTTGTGGTCTGTCATCCTTGTGCCCTGCTCTGACAACAGTGCCTTCAGTTTTGTCATGTCTTCCTGTCCCATCAACCCAGAATGCCTCTCCATTTTTTGGATTATTCTTTTCCATGCATCCATCAAAATCATTCCAGACCACTTTTTCTGGATTCTTATTATAATTACCGGTATTGCAACATTTGGAACTTGATCAACATACTTTTATTTTTAGTTTTATTTGTGTACATTTTATTTGTTCAAGTGGGAGAGTTCCCTTAGGCAATGATCACATTTGCAGCTTATTTTGTGTCCTTTCAGAGCATTGGGCACAATGCTGGATACAGAGGAAACATTTTGGACATACTTACTTAGTAGTTACTATTATAGAAGGATGGAAAGGAAAGGCATGGCTGGCAGCTCGAGCACCAGTTGTACTTGGCCAGCCCTGGATGTAGATGGCCTGGACATGTCTCTTGCACAAAGAACTTTCTATGAAAAGAGTTAGGGAAAGTGTTAGGTGATGTGTAAACAAATAACTGGCTTGTTGACTGTGAGAGTGACATCTCATGTTGACCTTTGTCCTCCCACATCCTTTTTACTCCAGAGACTAGTGCCTGGCAAGAGTTAAAATACAGAGGTCTGTGTTAAGCTTATTTTAGTATGTTAGAATGAAAAGATGGATGGATGAATGCATGGGCCAGAAATGTGATTTTGTTTGCTGGGTAGAGATTCTGAGGAACTTGAAAGTAGAAGAGGATCTTTTTTTAATCTACATGAATCTTTATTGTCAGTTGATTTCATGGGGATTTTAACTCTTCTGCCAAACAAGGGTGCTTACGTGGGTTAAATGCTTTGAAGTGAAGATGCTTTTGGTTTCTGTGATAATCACAGAATCTGATTACTGCAGCTTAATAAGTATTGTTGTGAGTTTGCTAAGAATAATAAGTCTTTAAAGTTTTTAAAAATTTTTTTATGTTTTGCTATCTTGTCATTGTGTTAATTAAAGAATGTTTCTCCCTCTAGTTGTGTTTTGCACTTACTCTGTGTTCTGCTTTTTGGGTAAGTGTATATTTTAATTTTCCTTAACCTTTTTGGCTTATGCCTCTTGTCACACACTTTGCTGGAACCATATTATTTTTCTTTCAGTGGCATAACAAGGGACTTGCGCTCATCTTCTGCATTTTGCAGTCTTTGGCCTTGACGTGGTAAGTAACCTTTTGAACAGTCCTCTCCCACATAGACTTCTGACTAATGCAGCTGAAGGAGGTAAAACCCACATGTTGTGAGTAGGAGGATTAGGAAAACACAGAAGCTCTTTAATTTAACAATTCTTGATGATGCAAGTGAAGTCAGGCTACAGAGCAAAAGCCCATCGACTCGGTCCACTGCCAAAAGATGGCATTAGTGGCCTGAGTGGTCACAGGAGGTTGTTTGCCTGCTGCAGTGTTTTTGCTGGGCTTATGGTTGATTTTGAGATGTTACAAATGTTATTAAACCACTCATTTCTGGTAAGTGCAGGCACAATGAAAGTACCATAAGGGCGGGTAAAAAGAGGCTTGTGAGTCAAATAGACATTAACAAAAAAGGAAAGTGGTAAGAAGAATAATGAATGTTAATTTGTGATGGACTGAATCATTTGACAGAAGGACAAAGAGTGAATTGTCAGCAGGAGATGAGGAGTAGTGACTGATAAAATGGAAAACCATGTGGCTGTGGGTTGTAGGATCAGCATATGCACTGGAGGCTGTGGGATTTTGGTGATTCAGGTGAAGACAAGAAAATTATAACTCAAGGGCCAAGCTACGGAAAACATTTTTTGAGACCATGGATGGGGCTGTATGTTCATGGCCCCTTCAAACCTGTACATCATCAAAGTGAGAAGGGTGGGGGCATGAATGGAATCTATAGCTTTTGAGACATTTCTGTAATGCTTTCAAAGTTTATCAAGAGAAGATATCTGCCAGAACAGTTTACTATAGATGTGAGTGATCTATTTTGGAAAGAAATGTTTGCTGTAATGCAAAGAAAAGAGAGGACTATGGAAGTTTTAAAGCTCCTAAGGATCAATTCACTCCTATTTGGTAGAAATGGATTTTGAGACTGTAATCTTAACACCCACCCCTCCCTGTAGTAATTTTGGACTCTTGAATAAATATACTTTCAAATTGCCTTTTGGAATTTACCATGTTCACAAATAAATGAGCTTCTGTACATGGTAAATGTAAGATATGGAGAATGATGGCCTGCTCTAATGTGACACACATTTTGGTAGTAGGTACTGAAAGGGCCTGGTTTGATGGCTCATGTTTATATTGTGGTTTTCTTCTGGGGGCAGACATTAGTACCCGCATACACATGGCTTTCTTTTCTTATCGACTGATTTTGTAGCCAGTTTCAAAGATTCAACGTTCATATGGGTTCAGATGGATGGTGATACTCCCTCCAGCACTGATGTATTCTGACTACTTTTTTTTCTTTGGGCTGACCAGTTTATGCCCTGCCTGACACACAGTGCCTGGTTGTGTAGAGTTATGGAACCCCTTCCCTGCGTGGGTCCCTTCTAGGCGACGGGCTGAGCTAACTGAGATTCGCCAAGATACCTTTGGGCTTGGGTTTTTGAAGAATCATAGCTTTAAGTTTGCATCCATAGAGTAGTTGGTTGTGGTTTTTTCTTTTTCTTTTTTTCTGTTTTCTATTCTCTTTTCTCTTCTTTTAAAATTAATAGGAACGAAGCAGAAAATTTATCCCAATTGGGTAGAAGTTAAATTCTGTTGAGCATTTGTGAAATGTTAGAGGAAAACTGATTTGGATTTTACTTGGTGTTCTTTCAGAATAGGGTTATGTCATCTGGATATCTGGAATCTGCCTATTTTAGGTGATTGTTGCTGGCTCACTTGGTTAAAGCAGAACCTCAGTATGGCTGAGGTCACTGGTTATCTCCACATGGGCCTTTTGCCCTCCTTCTGTGGCTAGTTGGCTGTACACATGGCACAGTGTGTGTGTGTGTGTGTGTGCATGTGTGTGCTCACTTGCGCATAAGTGAGCCTTCGCGTGTGTGCAGCCCCAGGACGAGGAGGGGAGAGGGTCTCCATGAATCATGGCAGATGCTCTTACAGTTCAGAAGCCCGTTACTGTGTAATCTTCTGGCACAGTGTGTGTGTGTGTGTGTGTGCATGTGTGTGCTCACTTGCGCATAAGTGAGCCTTTGCGTGTGTGCAGCCCCAGGACGAGGAGGGGAGAGGGTCTCCATGAATCATGGCAGATGCTCTTACAGTTCAGAAGCCCGTTACTGTGTAATCTTCCACTCTCTTCATTCAATTTGATTTTCTGTTTTGTTTGTTTTTCATTGTAGGTACAGCCTTTCTTTCATACCATTTGCAAGGTAAGTCTAACTTTGTATTTAGAAGTATAATTTCTGTCATTTGTGGATAATGATATGTTTGCATAGGGCCTTTTAGTTTAGATAGTGCTTTCATAGCGTACTTGTTTTATTTATCTTTATTAAAGTCCTTTGAGCCAAATAGGCAAACGTTCTATCTATTTTATATATTGGTAAGCTAAGGGTTACCCCTCTGCCCACTCTAATTATACAACTCATGATGGGTGTTAACCCAGGTCCACCAATTCCTTATGCTGTGAACATTCCAGTCTGATATATAGTGCATATATGTACATTATTACTCTCTTAACCTGTAGCTTTGAGTAGGTTCTTTTTTAAAATATTACTTTAATATTATTGAGCAAGAGATGGAGGTATCTCAATTTATGCTTGTTTTCCACTGATGGAAAAGTTTCAGAAGAGTTTATAAAAGGAAAGTAAGAAAGACCAGGACTGTGGAGGAACAAATTAGCAGTGTGAGCTTGGACAACTCTATTGACCTCTCTGGCCCCAGATGAGGCATCGATAAGTAGAGTGGGTTGGATTCTATCATTTCCAGAGACCCCTTCCAGCTCTGAGGTTCCAATGCTCCAAACCTCCTTAAATAAACACCTTCAATGACAGGCCTCTCAAAATTAGCCTGGTGATCTTTGCCTCTGACTCTGTTCTAGTGCAACTATTTAATTTCCATTCTTCTCTTTTATTACCTGTTAACTAAAAACAAGCTTTTCCTTAACTATGTTGAGGAAATGAAAAATTATACCTGAGCTGTGAGGAGAAAGAGCAAGTCTTATGTCTTATGCATTCCGGGTCTGTTGCTGACAGTGATTTGAAGGTGCTGGGGGAGTGATTGATCAGATGAGAAGTTAGCAAGCCCACCAAGTTAACGGCAGCTCGATGGCTTTGTGGATAGGATCTATGTGGATATAGCAGTTATAAAATACCCCCTGCAGACTTGGCCAAGTTTTGTGGGGTCATCTGAAGAATTTGGGCAGGGATATCCTGGGAAACTAGGTTTTTATGTGACATAAGCCAGATCCTGTCATATCTGAGCATTCAGTAAGATATTTATTAACCTGCTAACATTTTGAACATATCTTGGTGCCTGAACTGGCCACATAATTTGCAGGGCCCAGTGCAAAATGAAAACGTGAGCCCCTTGTTCAAAAATGATTAAGAATTTTGACATGGTGACATCAAAACATTGAATGAAATGTGGACCCTTCTGAATATGGACCCAGAGCAGTTGCACAAGTCTCACCCATGCAGGTGGGCTTGCTTTGTGCCATTCTTCAGGGCTTCAGGCTTGATCTGGATTGGCATGTGTAGATCTTATCTACAGTGGATGGATGGAACGATGGTATTCTGTTTGAAATAGTGCATTTTGTGTATTGAGCAGATGAAAATTCCCAGGAAATGAAAAATTATACCTGAGCTGTGAGGAGAAAGAGCAAGTCTTATGTCTTATGCATTCTGGGTCTGTTGCTGACAGTGATTTGAAGGTGCTGGGGGAGTGATTGATCAGATGAGAAGTTAGCAAGCCCATCAAGTTAACGGCAGCTCGATGGCTTTGTGGATAGGATCTATGTGGATATAGCAGTTATAAAATACCCCCTGCAGACTTGGCCAAGTTTTGTGGGGTCATCTGAAGAATTTGGGCAGGGATATCCTGGGAAACTAGGTTTTTATGTGACATAAGCCAGATCCTGTCATATCTGAGCATTCAGTAAGATATTTATTAACCTGCTAACATTTTGAACATATCTTGGTGCCTGAACTGGCCAAATAATTTGCAGGGCCCAGTGCAAAATGAAAATGTGAGCCCCTTGTTCAAAAATGATTAAGAATTTTGACATGGTGACATCAAAACATTGAATGAAATGTGGACCCTTCTGAATATGGACCCAGAGCAGTTGCACAAGTCTCACCCATGCAGGTGGGCTTGCTTTGTGCCATTCTTCAGGGCTTCAGGCTTGATCTGGATTGGCATGTGTAGATCTTATCTACAGTGGATGGATGGAACGATGGAATTCTGTTTGAAATAGTGCATTTTGTGTATTGAGCAGATGAAAATTCCCGTATTAGGGAGAGATCACAAAGTTAGGTCCTACCCTTCTTTGTGTAGCTTCCCCTAGAATAGNTATTAGGGAGAGATCACAAAGTTAGGTCCTACCCTTCTTTGTGTAGCTTCCCCTAGAATAGCTTTTCCCATAGTATTCCACAGAAACACGTGGGAGAAAATGGTTCTACGATCAAGCAGGTTTGGGAAATAAGCAAAATTAGGTAAGTTCCTTATTGCCCAGCTTTCAAGGCCCTTTAATATGCTACATGTCAGTTGAGAGCTGCCACGACAGGGACTTTATTTGGCCATAAAACTTCTTATGCAGAACATCTCCTGGGACTATAATGCAGAACATATATCAAGAAATGCTGTTGTAGAATTATCTTGATATTAAAATGCAGCGCCTGCTCATGCAAATGCATTCACTCACCTCCCCCTCCTTTATGTGACTCCCAGCGTCCTTAGTGCAACTGCAGCAGAGAACACAGAAGGAACAGAGCTGGGTCTGAGAAGCCCAGTGCCATTTCCACAGTGATGGTGATGGTGGAAATGGAGGTGCTTGCTTGGACAGAATAGTAATCCACTGAGTACCCACTCCTTCCTTGCACTCTGTGAATTACAAAGAGTAAATACCTGTGATAGTGCTGATACAGCACGTTAATGAGTGCTCAGTACCTATAGAGAGCTCCCTGTGCTAGGGAGCTCATGAGACATGCTCATTTATAAGTTTCTGCTTTTTGCTTAAATGAAGAAAGGCCCTCGTGACCATTTGACTTAATGCTTTCAGTGCATTTTGTGATTATGGCTGATATTGAAGTATGACAGTCCTGACTAATTTCTTAGTTTCTGATAGTCTGTACTTCCTATCTTTTCCTGATTATGATGGCAGCTATCATTTATTAAATACCCATTCTATGCAATACACTAATTCCCACAACCGGTCTATAGGGAAAGTGGGGAC